TGTGTTGTGTGTGTATATATATATATATATATATATATATATATATATATATGCATGTATGTGTTTATATATATGTATATCTATGTGAAGGTAATCGCCAGCAATGTTGGATCAAGGGATGGTCCCGCGGTAGGAACACGTGCCCCTGTCCCGCTACGAGCAACTATTCTATTCCTTTTATACTCCACTGATTCTCTCTCAGCCCGAAATTTTACACGGTAACTAGCGTCAGAAATTCTACGGCTAATTTTCGGTGAAAAATGTCCTGCCGAAACACGGTCCATCTTGGATATTTCTTTTACTCTCTTCCTTTCTCTTTTCCTCTTTCTTTTTCATCTTCGATTCATGAACTTGAGATACATTAACGGATAGATTCGAGGAAGAGTATTAGTTTCGCGTATTAGCCACGATTGTACATTCACATTTATTCACAGTTATCCGAAAGAAAGTATATAATCGATTTCTCCCACCAACGATACAATTAATTCGATCTGTAGATCTTTCACATCCCTATTACGAATCGCTCTCCTTCTCCTCCTCTTTTTTCTACTTCTCTCTCTCTCTCTCTCTCTCTCTCTTCTTATTCATCGTCAATCGCATTGTTTCTGGCGATGCTCTCGTCTTCGGTGTGATTTTCTATCGTTGACCCTAATTACCTTAAGATCATTTCGTTACATAACGCGATTCCCAACTAGACGAATTGTCGTGCTTACCGTATCGTAAGACAAGAAGCCTGTACGTGTAACGCGTCTTAACGGTGGGTTAATAAATCTATGCAATCGTGTTTCGCTAGTGATAAACGAGTCTTTCGGATAAGCCTTGTTCATCGAGCTCCACTCGTGGATCATTTCTTTTCTTATTTCTCTCTCTTTTCTTTTTTTTTTTTTTTTTGTCTATTATTCGAAAGAGCTGAGATTCCGACAAGAAATTCTCAGCTTGGAAACTTAAACTACTCCCATTATCGATAATGTTTACGTCTAATGTAAATTTCACTTTCTCCCCTTCTCTTTTTCACTCGCTCGCTCGCTCATTCTCTCTCTCTCACTTCAACAAAACTACTGAAAATTATCGGAATTACGGGACGAAACAAAGCGAAAGAATTTGGTTTGAAGACCAAATGAAATTTTGATCAATGTGGAGAAGGAAAGAAAAGGAAAAAGAAGTTAGAATCGTGGGTTTCCGCCTACCAAGGAGAAAGGAAGAAAGAAAGGCGTACGAGAGGAAAGAACGAATCTGCTCGACAAAAAGCGGCGAATGACTTTCAGAACGCAGCGGATCATTAATATCACCGGGATGATCAATCAAAGACGTGAACTTACTTTGGTGGACGTCGTACTGGGCCTGGTACCACCAACACCGATGGCGTATAGCTCCACCTCGTACCACTGGATCCCCGTTTCCCTGTCCAGCGCGGCGGCCGTCGACAATATACCTGTCTTCGTGTCGACGTCGAACAATCTGTCGACCTGTGGACCGCCGCTACCAGCGGTCACGTTCGTCACGTAATATTCAAGATCGATATTCGACCTACGACTTCGGGCACTCACTCTCAAAATACTCGTACCGATCGGCTCGTTCTCGTACACGCTACCCTCGATCTGGCCGCGATGCTCCCATATCGGCTGATCATCCCCGTCCTCCCCGGGCACTATCAGGGTCAAATAGATCTCTGTGGATCTACGTTCCGCTTGAACGGCCTCGTCTGTCGCGCGGATCCCCACTTGATATTTCGAGACCCGTTCCAAATTGTTCTTCAAGGATCGGGGCAGTCTTATGGTCAAATGGCCCGTGTTCCGGTGTATTCGAAACATATCCGAATAATTCACGCTCGACCTGAGCAACTCGTACGTGACCAGACCGTTCGTGCTCGAATCCAAGTCTCTGGCGACCAATCGGGTCACAGTGATCTCTTTCTGATACTGATAATTTCCCTTGAGCGGCAGCACAACGGCGGACATGCTGACGAAAATCGGCGCGTTGTCGTTGATGTCCTCGACGATAACGATCACCAATTTTTCGGCTGAAAGCCTGGCGCTGGATGGTTGCGCGCTGTCCGTCGCGACCACCACCAACTTGTACGTGTCCACCTCTTCTCGATCGATCGGGAGCAACGTGTGTATCACGCCGGTCGAAGGGTTTATACCGAATCTACGTACTTGATCCTCGGGATCTTGGCTGGCGATTGAATAAGTGACTATCCCGTTCTCGTTCGAGTCGGGATCTTCCGCTGTGATGGTCACTATCGGCGTGTGCACCAGAATACCCTCCCTGATTTGTCTCGCTATCGCTGTATTCGGAAATACCGGGGGATTGTCGTTGGCGTCGATCACCTCGACGATCAACGTGGTCACCGAGCTCAACCTCGGATGACCCCCATCGCTACAAGTCACGTTCAAAGTATACTTTTCCAGTTCCTCGTAATCGAGCGGTTTTCTCAGATATAACGTCCCCGTCAGAGGATCGATGTAAAAGGTGTCCCTTCTGTTCCCAGCTGATATGGCGAACGCCAGCTCGCTATTCGGCCCGAGATCGTTATCCGTTGCTTTGAACCTGAGCAATTCCGTGTTGGTTGGCGTTGTTTCGAGGACTGAGATCCTCGATTTGTCGTCGATGAACAGAGGCACGTTATCGTTCTCGTCGAGCACCTCGATGTACACGGTCGTGCTGGAGGAGAGACGGGTCTCCAGGCCAGCGTCGTGCGCCACAACGGTTAACACGTACGTGTCCATGGTCTCGCGATCCAGTTCTTTCATTAAGGATATTTGTCCGGTCGCCTCGTCTATGGCGAATCGACCGTATTGATTCCCATCTTCCAGCGAGTAGAACACGTCCCCGTTCAACCCCTCGTCCGCGTCCGTCGTGTACACTCTCAACAATTGCGTGCCGATCGCGGCACCCTCGTTCACCTGCACCCTATACGGCAACCTTTGAAACTGTGGGATATTGTCGTTCACGTCGGTGATGTAAATGACGACCTTGACTCGATCGCGGAGACGATTGACCCCGTTGTCGGTGACGGTAGCCTCCAAAGTGATGTAGCTACTGCCTGTATTGGTGACAAGCAGCTCCCTGTCGAACGCTCGAAGGGACTTGATAAAACCGTTCCTGGGATCGACGGTGAAGTCCTGTTGGCTGGCCGGAAGAGAGAAGACGAGGTCGGCGTTGCGACCCACGTCCCGATCCGTGGCCAATAATTTTCCAACGAACGTGTCAGGTGGCTCGTTCTCGCGTAGGTGGAGGATGAAGCTCGAATTGGTGAATTCCGGCGCGTTGTCGTTTTCGTCGATTATATGAACGACCACCGGGACTACCGAGCTTCTAGAGGGGCTGCCTTGATCGGTCGCCGTTACCTCGAGCGCGTAATAGTCCTGCTCCTCGCGGTCAAGAACGTTCTTCACGTACAGCTGGCCGTCCGGGAATATCCCAAAGCGGTTCTCGGTATTTCCGTCTGTGACGCTGTACAACACCCGGCCGTTGGCCCCAAGATCGACATCGGTGGCCGTCAGAGAGAAGAATCTATCGTTGACCGGCGTCGATTCCGGCAGAGACGTCTCGTAGCTGGTCAGCTTGAACACCGGCGTGTGATCGTTCACATCCTCGACAGTGACCCTGACTTGATGCTGGGCCGACAACGGGGGATTCCCGGAATCGGTCGCGGTCACCTCCAAGTGCAAAACCGTGCCGGGCGCAGCTCGGATCGGTTTATCCAAGTAAATGATCCCGGAATTTTCCGCAACTCTGAACTGTTCTCCGGGGTTATGGGTCAACGAATAAACGATCCTCGCGTTCACGCTTGCATCCCGATCCCTCGCCCTAGCCAGGCACACTTCCTGCCCCACGGCTGCGTTCTCCTTCAAAAACACTTCGTCCCCGATTTCGCCCTTGGGAACCTCGGCGGGTTGTCGTTCACGTCCACCACCGTGATATTCACGGACGTTTGTCCGTAAGCGAGTCCAGCCCTTGCCGATAATTGCAAACTGTAGTAGGCCACTTGTTCCCGATCCAAGCAGCCGGAAGTGGTGATTGCGCCAGTGCTCTCGTCTATCTTAAAATTACCCTTCTGATCGCCGAACACGATGGCGTACGAGATCTTCGAGTTCCCGTATTGCGTCACTTGAACGGTGCCCACGTCCCTCGCGAACATATTCGCCACCGTGCCACACTCCCCCCTGTCCTCGGCTATCCTGAACTCGTAACCGTTGTAAGTGTCGAACTCCAAGCGTTCCAGATCTTCCTCGCGAATGATCTCGACCAGGGCGTTTCTCACCGCGAATCTGTCCCCGGTATCCTTGGCGGATATGTTCAATTCGTAGAGCGTTTTGTGGGCCGCCCTAAGCGAGCCCTGAAGAGTGATCTCGCCGGTTCTTTCGTCGACTGCGAAAAGTCCCTCGCCACCGGATTCCAACGAGTATCTGACTTGGGCGTTTTCCCTGGCATCGGCATCGGTCGCCATCACCTTTCCCACCGAGGTCCCTGGCGGGGCATCCTCCGGCACGGCCATCAAGTATCTCCACGGATAGAAAACCGGCGAATTGTCGTTCACGTCTTTCAACGTTAATATCACCGTTGCCGTGGACGATTGGGGCGGTGTACCTTGGTCCTTGGCGATCACGAGGATCCGATATTCCGCTATGGTCTCGCGATCGAGGTGCACCTTCGTTGTCAATTGGCCGGTGAGTCCGTCCAGGGCGAACGTTTTCGGATAATCCCGAGGCACGCTCGAGTGAAAACTGTACGCAACGCTGCCGTTCGTCCCTTGATCGTTGTCCACCGCCGTCAACGTGGCCACCAGGCTCTGGGGCGGGGTGTTTTCCGACAGCGTGACTTGGACCACGTTTTGGGAGAATCTGGGCGCCTCGTCGTTCTCGTCGAGGATCGTCACCTTGAGGTGGGTGGACGCGTACTTCGGGCTGGGGCCACCGTCCCTTGCGGACACGTGCAACTCGATGCTTCCCTGCACCTCTCTGTCGAGGGTGGCGATCGTAGTGACCAAACCGGTGTCCTGATCGATCGCGAACCAACCTTGCTCGTTGCCCGAGTCCAATTCGTAATAAATTCTCGCGTTCAGCCCGGAATCGGCGTCCGTGGCGGAAATGCTGGCGACGAAACTGCCGATGGGCGAAAGTTCCGAGAGCACCGCCGAGTATTCGCTTTGCTGAAAGACCGGTTCGTGGTCGTTAACATCGTTCACGTGGATCACGAGATAGGCGGTTGCCGAACGGGGCGGCGTTCCTTTATCGGTCGCGACCACGGTCAGATTGTATTTCGGTATCTCCTCGCGGTCGAGTCCACCGTTCACGCGTACAACGTCGAACGTGGCAGCGGTTTGCAATCTGAAATGGCCCAATTCGTTGCCGGCGCGAATTTCCACGCTCGTCTCGCCGTTCAATCCCTCGTCGTTGTCGATCACCGTGATCGCGGCCACGATCGAATCTTTGACGGCGTTCTCGTCGACGGTCGCGTATCCAGGCGTGATCGGGAAATAGCTGAACTTTATTTCAGGATCGTGATCGTTCGCGTCCAATAGATTCACCGTTACGTAGGTCCGGCCATCCTGCCTCGGCGAGCCGTGATCTCGGGCGAAGACCGTTATGACGCAGCTCTTTAGACAACCGTCGCCTAGACGCGCTGCGCCCGTGCAGCTCTGCTGCGGGCAATCCAAAGGCTCGATCGTCGTCACGGTCCCTGTATCCGGGTCTATCGTGAATTGCCTCTCGGTATCCGGCAGATAATACGTGAGCTTCGAATTGTCCTCGGAATCCTTGTCCGTCGCGCGAACCGTCAATACCTTCGTCCCTATAGGGGCACTCTCGTTCAGAGCGACCACGTAATCGCTCTGCTGGAATATCGGGGGATTGTCGTTCACGTCCAACACGGTTACGTTTACGAGAAGGTAGCCAAGCCTCGGTGGTTGACCCCTGTCCCTCGCGCAAACATTCAACGAGTAAAATTCTACCTGTTCCCGATCCAATTTACCGGTCGTCTCCAAATGCAAATATGTGGTTTCACCGGTCGGATTCCCGGTCACTTCCAAACGAAATTTACCATCGGTGTTCCCGTCAACAATGAAGTAATCGTCGACGACACCGTTCTCCAGCGTATCCTTGTCGGTGGCGGCGTCCAACAATAATTTCGTCCCCACCACCGCGGACTCGGAAAAACTGACAGCTATGCTCGATTCCGGAAATTCTGGATCGTTGTCGTTTATGTCCAGCACGAGGATCCTTACCTCGATCGGATAAGTTGGCTGGCTGGAGAGGACGACCAGGTCGAACCTATCGCTGCTCAACGCCTCTCTGTCGAGAACTTTGGCCGTTTTGATCTTGCCGGTTTCCGGATCGAGCACGAATTCCTGGGGTGGCTCGTTAAATCTGTACGTGAATCCAGGCTTAACCGGTATCACACCGACCAGAGTCCCCTTCGGCTCGCCCTCTCTGACCTCTAGTTGAACCCTGGTATCGACCGCTCGACTCTGCATCGCGAGGCCCATCGCACCACTGTCCTGCGGTAACATAGGCGAGCGTCGTGGAACTAGCCGCGTCACCCTTTGAGGCGGTTTGCGGGAAAAATATTCGGACGCGTGTTTCTCCAGGTCGTTTGGTTGGCCGCCATTTTGGTCCACCGACAACAGTCCCAGGACCAGGGCTAGGACCATCGATCCTCGAATGATCATCTCTTCTTATGTCCCTTCGAACGCGCCCCCTTCCTTAGCCAAATTCTTTTCGGTTCGACGACATAAAAGTATCCAGGCCCCTTTGATACTACCTCTCGTTCTTCTTCTTCATCGTCGGTCGCGATTTCATCTTTCCCTGTCTATATACGCTCTTCACATTCGCACGCTCGACATCATGGTCACAGTCACAAAAGCACAAGTACGGGCAAAACTATCAATACGTATCAGCCAATTGATTGTTCGAATCGTTTATTATGGATTCCATCTCTTTCGATCTCTTTCTCGCTTTTCTCCTTTTCTTCCTATCTGTCCGCTATCCGCTTTCTCGCCAGTTTTTTCTTCGAATTCGGGCTACGTTTTAACCGGACTCTCGACTCGAAATCGGATTAAGGATGCCTCGAAGGTGTGGGCGTTTTCTTTTTTATTCGATCCTTTTTGCTCGTTGCCGCAGAAAGTCAAGTGAACACGAGCCGACAGAGGGGGCACTGACCCGCAGAGCCGCGCCTCGCAAAACTCCGTGGATGCTGTTCGTCTCTCGATCTTTGATTATTTTTTTCTTTTTTTTTTTTTATTCACCTTTCACGATCTTTTCAATCCCTTGAAATTATATCGATTCGTGGACACGATGAACGCGGATACGATGGCATCGCTTGTTAATGTCGAACAAAGATTTTTCGCGCGACGTCGCTACGGTTCCGACGATGTTCGCGGTCGCTGCTCCCTTGCGTTCCTTTCTGTCACAAACACGACGGTTATTACCACGCGCGATCTTCGAGTGATTCCCACCGCTTTTCATCGACGTTATATCGACTTTTCCTCTTGACACGACACTCTTTCTTAAAAATATCGATCGAAAGAAAGTTTCCTGGTCAGCGAATATCACTTTGATGTCGATTCTTATTATAAAATCATTCAAAGTTGATTCGAAACACACCACTAACACGAGGATATTTCTATCTAAAGATGCACAAAACAAACGCGTCGATGGTAAACGATATATAACCAAATTTATGGATGATGATGGCAACGTGTTTATTAGATGGTATCCATCAGTTTGCGAGATGCATGGATTCTTTACCGACACGTGTCGATAAAGTTTTAATAATAGGCAGCCGGACACGTCTTAAAAACTCAATTATCGTCGGATCGAAATCGTAGTTCGATGGAATTTTCACTCGTATCGATAATTCTTCTCGCGTGTTTCCCACGTATTTTTACACTTTTATATATTCTAAGGGATGAAAAGAATATACAGCGAGACGCAAAAAAAAGAGACGAAAAGACGCGACGCGCGGTGTACGTCCAGCCAGGATGAAATGGAAGGGAAATAAACGGAAAACGGAATGAAAGGGGGGAAAAAAAAGAAACACGCGCACACACATGTAGACAAGAAGAGCGAAAAAGGGTAACGTGGGCCGTGAACGCGACGATGTAAGGCCCCTTCGACGTACAACGACGAATAATATCACCTTCCCGAGGACTGACCTGACTCGACTGAACCGAGACGGTCCCAGAACCTTGCCACTGCCGGGAGAAGCATTCTTCGGGCCTGGCTGACGCCGTCCCTCTCCGATCCATCAGGCCCAACGTATGCTTCCGTTTCTCTCGCTCTTACCTCATTCCTCTCTCCTTTCTTACCATTTACTCCCTCCCTTCTTTCCCCCGCGTAAGCACACCTTCCATCGATATCACTTTTTCTCTTTCTTCGAAGTCTTCGACTCCCTCTTTCTTTCTTTCGGCTTTCTCGTCCTCTCTTTCACGTTCGAAAGTTTTCTTTTAATCTTTCTTTCTCGTTTCTTTCTCGCTCTCTTAGCGCTTAACGCTTTTATCAATATCTTTCCTCCCGTTTCGATTCAGTACAATTCTTTGATCTTTCATCTTAGTCTAACCTCAATATCATTTCTCCCTCGTTCTACTCCTCTTGTTTCTTTCATTTTTTTTTTTTTACACGGATTCATCTTCTATCTCAGTTTTAAAAAAAAAACCCTCTTCCGAACTCGTGCTTTCTCTTTTCTCCCCCGATTTTCTCAAACGACCTATCGCTTTTCCCCTTTTCTCTCTCTCTTTCTTTCTCTCTCGTCGCCCCTCTCTCCTACTACCAATCGGTATCATTTTCTCTCTCCTTCTAGCAAAGCATGCGCAATCCCTTCTTTTCCGAGACACCAAGGTTTCCATCCTTATCCCTCTGAAACTTGCAATTCTTTCTATCTATTTCGTTCCAGCAATCATCCTCTTTCTCTCTCAATCTTTATCATTTCTTGTTCCACTCTCTCCCAGTTGATTCGAAGTGATTCAACTATCTTTCTTTTACCAGTGATCGATACTGCTTTTCCTCTTCGTCTCGAAAAACATTCGTGAGTCCCCCTCTTCTGTCCCTTATATTTCTGTCCTTTTCCATCTTCACTTTCTCCATCTTTGTCCGTTCCGGTAGTGTCTCCATCCTATATTGTTCTTTCTCTGTCTATACTAAGATCGACAGTCAACCTTTTTCCATCCAGGATACACTAGTCCAACCACCAGCGTGCCAATTCCCCTCCGTGGGCCCTACGTGTCTCTTTCTTGCCTTTCCTCCCAACCTCACTGGAAGGTGGCCGGGCCCCTCATAGCGCCCTCATTCCCCGTCTCTGTCCCCGCGGCCGTTATCCTCCCACCTTGGACTCTATCCTCGCGCATCCCAGCGTCGTCTCGCGCTGAGATATTCTCCCTTTTGCCCTCGAGGAACGAGCAATGTGGAGGCTCAGGTATGCAAGATGGCCGCCGCTGAGAAGCATTCGCAACGAGGACCGCTTACGGGCGAACCAGGAAAAGAGACCGACTATGAAAGAAAGATGGAGCTAGCTAGGGAAGAAAGACGAAACTTAGCTCGAACTAGAGAGATAAAGATAGAACGGTCGAGATGAATAATGCGTAGAGCAGGAGAAGAAGCGAACGGGGAGAGAAAAAAGAAGAGAGAGAGGGAGAGAGAGAAAGAGAGAGCAAGAGAAAGAGAGCAAGGAAGAGAAAGAGCAGTTAGGATGACAAGGGTGTGGGGTGATGAGGAAGAGAGGTGGAGGAACGAGAGGTCTAGAACCACGATATCCGCGGCCCTGTAGCCACTTTTATAACTAATCCGTTACCACGATCGAACGCTTCGTTCGAACTTTCCACCGTTCTTCCCTCTCTTCTATCTTTTTTTTCTTTTGGCAAGAATAAAGCCGCGCGAACTACACGCGCAACTAGATTATCTTCGCTGTTTTCCTTTAATCTAGTTTACTGGGTATCGGCTATCACTATATGGCTACCATCGGCTCCACCTCCCTCTCTTCCCTGTATCTGCCGATTACCGTATCGATAACTAACCCGATTTACGCGTATGCGCTCACCGCCATTCTTTCTTTCTTAATTCTTTCGTTTTTCCTTATATTCTTTCTTTGTTGTTTTTCTCTCTTCGATTCCTTTGCCAAATGTAAGCAAAAATTTTGAACAGACATCGCATATATGGACAAAATATATACGTGTACATATAATTTTTGAACGTTTGAGGAATTATTATCTAATAAAATGCCGAAAGAATACTTACATGCATAGAGTGCAATAGAATGCCGCAACAAATTAGAACCTTAAGTATTTCTTTACTTCTTATTTTTCTTTATTTATTATTGATTCTCTTATTTGGGAGAATCAATTTCAAATATTTCTATATTATTTGTTGCAAAGCATTAAAAGAATCTTTATCGGAAATTAATATTTTAGTTCGTTTTTATTAAGCAAAGCGATTTTTTTTTTAATTAATCGCCGTATCGATTTTTTAATATTAAATTTCCAATAAGAATTAGGATAACAATCCGAAAAATAACAAAAAATGATATTTATGTAAATAATATTATACAATACACTAGAAGAGTTCTATGATACGACTAATTTTACAATTTATTTTATTACTGAATTGAAGCGTTAAAAATTTTTTCAAATATAACTATAATTAATTGCAAGATATAAATAAGATATAAATATAAAATTCAAGTGATAGTAACTATGAAAAATCAGGCAAAATTGTTCTTAATGTATCAATATAATTTATTTTATCATATATTTTCTAATATCATTTAATATAAATCTAATAATGGTAAAATAATTTTTTTTACCATTATTGTTCAAGTCTTTAATGTTAAATTTTTTTAGCAAAAAATATTTTTATGTCGAAATTAATATTTGAATTTTATCTATTTGAATTAATCTATTATTCTATTATATTAATAGATGCAATATTTTATTTTGAAGACTAATTTACAAATTATATAAGACGAATAATTTGATCACAGTAATACAATGTATTTTAATAAATCTTATTAGTATATCTACAATTATATGATGAATAACAATTTATCGAGAAAGATACAATTTCATTAGAAATTTGATTACTCTTTATGTAGATCGCCAATCTTGATCTTTACCAAATCGCGATATCTTAACTATGAAAGGGATAGTTGCAAACTTCTTTACAACTTATTTTGCAAGAAACAACCATAATAAATTCACCGGTGACTGTTCTTCATTCGAAATAGCTTTTTGCGCCCACTTGTCTAACATTATTTCGCATTGTTACCATATACGGGACAACATCATTCGCAAAACAGTAAAATTCGAGTTGCGGTATGCTACGTGGGCGTTACACGCAACAGTTTCATTGTTTCACCGAACAATAACTGTAACACATTCTCCTCTGTTTATTTTCGGTTGTTAAACAATTACAAGCCATATCGATTACCGGTCGCTAAAATCGAGAAATCTTTTAAAGAAAAAAAGAAAATAAAATTTTTTTTCCTCATTCTCTTTCTTTCTTTTATATATATATATATAAATATCTAAAATCATTTCATCAAAAATTCATGTTTACTTTCATCAAAAATTGCTTATAAAATGCATGTTTTATTATGTATGCTTGTACAAATTTTAATATTAAGAACATGATTATTTTCTAGGTGCTCCATACGCATCTGGCATTCTTTCTATAGTGTACCTATGTTGAGAAACATACATTATAGGTACACCTGGTATTTTTCGTATCCTCTTCTTTAGATCTTTATCATTAGTTGCAACAATGTAACATTTGTGCTAAAATATAATATAAATAATCAAAATCTAAATAAATATGAAGCCAATTATTATTAAGTCAAATAGATTTAAATTGGAAATAATTATACTTACTTGAGTCACTCGATTAATAATACAATCATCTGCATATGTACCTTTGTGCATGCAATTCAATCTTTCGAATCTAGGATCTTTCATAATCCTTAAAGCTATTCTATATTTTTGACCAAGTTTTTCCATTTCACCTATCACACAATCTGTTATATATGGAATACATTTTGCATAAAGACATTCCATCATATTTTCTATAATATCTAATTTGTTTTTAATTGAGAAATTTATAAAATTTGTATCTACCAAAATATGATATGGTGGTCCCAATTGTGTGTTATATTGGAAAAATAATGCAGAGGATTGTTGAGGCCTGCAATATATTGTAATAATAATATTTGATATTTTTTATATCAATTTTATAAGATATAATAATATGTACACTTCTGTTATCTTGAATTGAGTAGGATCTTCCTTTTTAATTTTTTTTGGTGGTATACGATGTTCAGGTTTTCTACAAATAGTAAATTAATATTTTGTAAATAAAGTATATGTATATAACAATAATAAATTTTTTGTATAATAACAAAATTAACTAAAAAACCACTTACATTCTTGAATCTCTTAAGCTTATCATTTTTTTCATTTGTGCAAATTTCTGCATAACAACTCTTCGTGTTCTTTGATTCTTTCCCTGTATATTACAAATTAGTGAAAAAATAATTTTAATTATTATAATTTAAAATTAAAATTATTGCAATATAAAATGTCAAAAATATAACCTAAAGTAACCTAAAATACGCATTTTAGATATTCTGCAAAAAATGCAATATTTTATAAATTAGATATTATTTACCATTTTTGCTTAATGTTCTATTATATAATATTTTATTATATTTACAACTTTTAATAGATATATTAAAATTATAAATTTTTTAATTCAAAATGTAAATCACGTGAAGATCTTTTATGGTATTACCAACAATAATATATTTTATATATTTTTCTATTTGTCTTGCCAACTTAAAATATTCTAGTCATATAACACACATAAATTAAATGATCATAAATTCAAACAAAATAATAGATATTTATTTTTTAGTATAATTTATGTTACAGTCTATTTCTTGACACAATTATTTTTATATTGCGTATAAATATATTGTGAAAGATACATAGGATTTTTAATTTTAAATATATTTCTTTTTTATGCGTTTTTTATCATTGGTTGCAAGTAAATTAAAGCATCTTCGGTTGACCCGCCATCTTCTTCTCGATTTATGGAAAGAGAAAAAGTATCTGTATTTCATGAAACGTAAATTTTGATATTTTATTAAAATAGATTCAGTGTAAAGAAAAGAAGTTAATGTGCTACCATTTTTAATTTTTTATCATCTGATACTGACATAGATATTATAAATATAATTTAACTAAGTATACATAACATAAAAAGATCATTTATATTCTAACCTATAAAAGTGTGCAATGATTGTTGCACTTTATTTATGATCTTTTATTGTTATCCTAATTTGATAAAAAATGCCAAGAAAACCGAGCAAAACTTCATGGGGTGGTCGTGGTGGAAGATCTGGAAATTTTGATGATAAACATTATTTTGGTATATTTTTTGCTAGGAATTTAAATGTTAATTCATATAAATTTGTTTAAAATAGATCATGTTTTTATCAATTTTCTATTTTGTGCAGCCCATGATGATCGTGTACCAAGAAATGATGGATCTTTATATCTTGGAAATAGACCTAGAGTATCATTTAAAACACAAGCAAGACCAGCAAGAGATGTACCTAGAGGATTGGCATTAGCATGTTTAGATGAAGATGTTCAAATGGCAACAAGTTCCAATAATAATAATAGACAAGTTATCATGACAGGAAGAAATAGAGGTATACAACGTGGAAGAAATAGTCCTGTCCCTCATAGAAGATTTAGGATGGGATTGGCTCCTAGAATTAGGCAATTTCCTATTGGAGATTCTAATTGGTATAAAATTACAGTAAGTATATAAAATCATAAATTTGTAATATTTAATTTAATTTCACATATGTATTACAAATGATTATAGATACCATATGGACATAAATATGATAAAGATTATATAATTAATAATCTTTTGAGTTATATTGCACCAGAAACTTTTATTCCATTTATGGTAAATATAAAACATCTAAAATATATAAAATACATTCATTGTGTAATTAAAAATATTTTACACATTCAATTTTATAAAAAATAATTCTGTTAATAGTATAAGGTAGTTGGAAATGAAGCCACTTTTTATGTAGATGATAACAAAATAGCAATGGCATTAGCTGATTCTGATCGTAAAATTACAACTACTGATGGATTTAAATTACAAGTAAGAGTTTCAAAAGCAGGATTTCCACAATGTGAGATTGATAGTAAATTGAAAGAAAGACTGAAACAAGCAATGGCAAAACGATATGTACATGAAACAAATGCATTAGATTTATCAAGATTTCATAGAGATCCTGGTTAGTCAAACTGAAAATAACATTTTAAAAATAAATTTATTTAAGAAGATATAAATAATTTTGCTTATTACAGATCTTATTACTGATTATTTTTGTGCATTATTTCGACCTGTAATGTTGAAAGCAGTGTTAGATATTGTATCAGAGCACATACCAGATTTAGAAGCATTAAATTTAGATGGAAACAAATTACAATTAATCGAAAAATTAAATGTTTTGGATAAAAAATTTACAAAATTGAAAATATTATATTTAGGAGATAACAAGGTGAGTAATTTAAAATTTCTAAATTGTATTATTTTTATTATTTAAATTGTGATGTATAATTCAATATATAATTAATATTATTATATTATTTTATAGATAAAAGATATTAATCAAATAGATACAATCAAAGATTTAAAGTTGGAGGAACTAAAATTAGAAGGAAATCCTGTATGCAACAAGTATAAATCTCGACAAAATGATTACATTAGGTAATGTATGATCTTGTTTACAATGATGGGATTCTTCAGGTTTGAGTTGGATTATCAAAAATAATAGATATTGTGATGCTAATAACTAAAATATTATATTATAAAATTAAAAAACCAATTATTCATTAATCAAAATATTAATTAGATTAACTATTGAATAAAATATATCTCATTTGATTTTAGTAGCCTTGAAATGTATCATCATCTTAAATAACTTTTTCTGGTACATATGACTGTCGCTCAAATTTAATTTTCAAGTTATACATAAAAAATATAAGCCATACTTATATACTTTTAATAAGATAAATATCTTTATTACTAAATATTTCTAATATTTTTAGCCTAGATTTTCTATCCTATTAAATTCTAATTTATCAAATTTAAATATAAATTTAGATTCATTATTTCATAGAAATAAAATAATAAAATAAAATATAAAATAATCTTTTGATAATCAAAAGAATTATTATAACTGAATTTATAACGATTTTATAATATACTAAATGTGAAATATAACTACCATTCTCTTTTATTGATTAATGTTTTTTGAAATTATAATTCCATATATATTTTCAGAATTTAATTTATACATTTACATTTAGATTATAATATTATCTATTTTTATATAGATAGACAATATAGATAAAAATAGTATATCTACTCTACATATTTATTGACAAATTTTATTATTATTTTATTAATTAATAAAAATAGATAATATCAATTAATTAAATATATCAAAGAAAATTTAAAATGAAATCTATTTCATGTTTTCATAAATTAGATTATTATTACATAAAAATAGCTATCATAAGATTAAACAGAAAGATTTAATAACTAACTAATAATTATTGCATAAGCTTAAAAATCCATATTGACCTATTATAAATTTTAAATACAAATCAAAAATATGTTTAAAATTAAAGCGGTAATAATATGTATAAGAAAAAGTTATTCACTTTTTCTTTAATAACATAAGAAACATCTTATCAATTTCATCGAAATCTGAATTACAAATACTTTTAACAATTTCTAATAAGTTATAAGATGAGAAAATTGCCTATTCTAAATGATCCCTATTTCTTCCTTTATTTTACTTTTCAATAATAAGGCAAATATTTCTGTTATTACGATTAACTTGGAGCTTCCGGGCTTCTGGCTTTTCTTTCCTGACCACAGCGACGTTCGGAAACGGTTTCCCAAACTCCTGCGACTGGTATGTAATTATTAATAATTATATTAATTATATTAATTCGTGAAAAATTCAGAACTACGTTTAATATTTTATTTAGGATGGTATGGAACTTCCAAAACCAATATTATTCGACGTAACGGATGAAGGAACAAAATGCCTCCCTCTCAGAGAATGTTTGTTGCAAATGCGAAAGCGCAAGAAATTGCAAGTCAATTTTTGCAACAATATTTTCTCATTTTCGATAGTGAGAATCGTCAACCATTATTAGATGCGTATGTCGAACATGCGTGTTTTAGTATGACTATGTCTTACGCTCATAGTACTAATAAGTACGTTTATACATATATATTATCTTAGAAACAAATATTTTTTATTAATAAATGGGACATTGCAGATTAAATGGATATTTAATGGAAAATAGAAACTTGTATAGAATAAATGATACAAACAAAAGACAAAAATTATTAAAACAGGGACGTTTGCCGGTAGTTTCATTTATTTCTGAAATGCCACAAACTTCTCATTATCTAAATACATTTACAATGGACATCAGTCTAATTACAGTAAGATTTTCTTGTACAGAAATAAAATTTGCAAGCTTTTCGTTATTTTATGCGACAATTTTATTTAGGATTTTATTTATATTTTAGGATGGAATGATGTTAACTACAGTCACAGGACTATTTAAAGAACTCGACAAAAAAGAGCAGCCTATTCGTTATTTTAATCGAACCTTTATAATAGTACCAGAAGGAAGTGGTTATTGTATTCGAAATGAACAATTACATATCAGTCAACCTACAGATGCACAGTTAAGACAATTAAATAATCAGAATTCAGAAACACAAATAACAAATCCAGGATCACATACTCCTTCGAGTAGTGGAACTGCAAAATCTTTGTCAGTACAATTATCTGAAGACGTAAAACAACAAATGACGATGACACTTAGCCAACAAACAAACATGAATTTAGAATGGAGTTTAAAGTGCTTAGAAGAAGTGTTATGGAATTATGACAATGCGCTCTCAGCGTTTCAAGAATTCTACAAGCGAGGACAAATACCAGCAGAAGCATTTAATAATAAGATGTGGATAAATAACATGTGGAAAAAAGTAAGATTCATAGAAATTTCAATTATTCTTTTCTACTGCATGTATCTTCGAAACATACAGTCTTATATTGTAATTTAAATAGATATGCAGATTTTATTTTAATTTTTTCCTTCTATTAAAACAAACAAATTAATTTTAACGAACAATGTTTATCATGTATTGCAAATTGACATAGATATCTTTTTTTTGTCTTTTCTTTTCTTTTTTTTTTTTCTTTTTTTTCTTTATATATATATATATATGTATATGCATATGTATACGTATATGTATATATATATATATACATATATATATATACATACACATATATATATAATTGTCTTAAATTACTTTATGGATACAAAATGTGTATTTACAACAAACAAAAAGAAGATTGTTGTAGACTATAAAATAAAATCAACGATTTATTTTACATGGTATTGTATTTAACAACAAACTTCTTTTTGTGTTAAGAAATGAATATTTTTATCATTAACAAATAAGATGTCCAAACATGGATTTAATTTTGCAAAATAACTGTCTCTTATAAATTAAGATTTAATGCGATGATTTTTAAGTTTAATATATTCCGGGAAAAATAATATTAATGTGATGCGATTAATTTTTACTTTTATTTCTGTATATCTCAACTTTCGTATCAGTTGTGATAAAATCTCGAAGATAAAATATTCCGGATTTTTATTTCTCATAATTATTTATAACAAATATATTCTTAGATATTCCTTTTTGCAGAATATAAAAATCAAGTACATTAAGTTCAATATAAGAGACACAAATGATGTTTAAACTTCTCGTGCTACTAGTTCGATTATATTTCATATGTACATAGTGATGTTTATTTACTATTATGATTTGAGTAATCTATATGTAATAATATATTTGTTTCATTCTAGAATGTATGCAAGATTGTGCTGTAATGCTTTTAAATAGATGAGTCTACATTACTATGTAATTGTTAGAAAACAGAATGTTTGTGCCTTTCTTTAATTATATTATCTCACATAAAATGAACATCATTATGTACTTGATACAAACTAGTTTACATTAAACTTTATAAAATATCAATTTAAAGAAAAAACTTATGATCTTAAAAAGGTCATATCACATCTTACTTCGTATCATGCTGGTTGATCGTATTTATTATCAAATTTTATATAATTTTTTTAATATTTAAAATAAAGAAAATATTCATTATATACAATATAAAAGAATTTATGAATTGGATTTTTTTTTATGAATTTAATATTGAAATTATAATAAAATATTTTCAAACGAATTTAACATTGATAATAACAAAACACGAGTCAGCCAGCCTCAAATGTTATTTTGGGAATTGGTATATCATGTTACACGTTTCAGAATTCTCGCGAATTATATACATGAATATATTGTTCTCATTCGCCTTCTTCATTATGTAATTTCATTGAATTGTGTAAATCACTCCAACAGATAATCTACAGCTTGTGAGTATAAATTATATATTGGTATTCATAAATAGTGCGCTTCTAATGAAACAATATTATTTTATTACGCTACGCATATCCAGAGAACAAAAATAATTATACCTCATATCCTGTTCAATTTATTTATCTTGAAAATGGTCGACTCGCCTTTGAGAAGGGAAGATAAAAAGAACAAGGGACAATAGTTCTGATGGACAATTGGGAATCTAACAAACAAGTTTGATCCCTTTCCTTGTCGAAGCCTGTCGATGTGCGACGAAATATGCTACGACAAATAATTACAATGTCCACATAATGTTAACAAGCAACATTAACATCGGAAGAAAGGCGAATTTTACTCGACCGTATTAGTTGCGCTTGCGGATTAAAACCACAAAAAAATTTTGGGCGATGCTGATGGCGATCAAGCAAAAGCTATAACCGCCCCTTCATTTTGTGTCTTTTCAAAGGACACAACCGACAAATGGAACTGATCTGAGTATGAATATGGAACTAAACAATGAAACGAAATGTATTCAATATAACAAAGTTTGTTTAACAGAATTTGAATTTTTTTACTATGTAACAGATCGTCATTAAAAATTTATAAAATAGAAATAATTGATTATTATCAAGATAATAGTTTATGCTCACATTCTGTAAAAGCGTTATTAAGATGACGAAAATATTTTGTATTAATATTATAAGTTTTTCGAAAAAAAAAAAGAGACAAGGAAATTCATTCTATTATATTGCTAATAATTTTTGATTTATTATATAACATAAATATTTCTTAAGAAAAAAAAGAAAAAGTAAAAGAAATAATTTTTTACTATTGTTGCGAGGAATGGGAAATTATCCACTGGATATTGTTATAATGCAATGGAAATTATTGCGTTTATTTTTTCGTTTGTAATTAAAAGAAAATGTAAATAGCTACATACTGATTGATGTACATGTTAAGATATGTTTTTACATTATATGTTTTTGTCAAGTTAAGATGTTTGAATACAATGTACGAATTGAAAGTACAATAAGATATAATTAATAAAAATAGAAATTTGTATACATATATGGGCGTTTTTCATCGGAGATAATGAATATAATGTAAATAAATATTAAAAGTTTATCAAATATAATTTTCTTTTTACAGAATATACGCATAATATTCGATATATTTAAATATTTTTTAAGTTCTTTTTACTCGTTATATCACGTATTTTCAGGGTTAATTGTAATCGCAGTTTCATTTCCTATCACCTATGAATAAGATTGGTTAAAATTTGAATAAGATGAATAAGATAAAATTTATTTTATTTTTAGAAAATATAAAATACTTACTTCATTACATTTTTGATTTGTTAAACTTTGTTTTTTTTTTCCGTTTAAAGAAACCCAACTGAAAAATATTATATTGGAATATATTATAATAATGTTCAAAAAATAAAAATCTTACCGTTCCTAAAATTGCAGCAAAAATTAATAATAATAATATTCCTATTAAAATAGAGATGAGAACGATCCATGGCTGTAATTTTTCCATTTTTGGGATATTGTAAAATATTGTCACAATTTCCATTGTAGATCTATAATGTAATTTTTAAATTATTTCTAACAAATATATTAAATATAAATAATATAATAAATATATATAAATGCCAAATATAATATAAAAATTTACCGAGTTCCATTGATATACAATCTCTTATCAGGTTTTATTATTTCTGCGCTCACCTCAGTAGCATATTTTAAAATAGCTCTATTGTTTCTAAAGATATCTTAAAATATTAAAAAAAAATATAAATGAATAAAATATGATCATTTTACAATATCTAATTAATAGCGATTACCTTTAAATTTATTAACATTTAAAAAAAGTTTAATTGTCATCTTTCCTATATCTTGTAATGTTTTCAGTGTATTTAAATCACATACAATAGTTATACAATTTATATAAGGAGTTGAACAATTCATGTAAATAATATCATTTGTCCAATTTTCATTTAATATTTTTGGAGCTTTAATATTCATGTTATTCAAATATAAAGCTGATTCTATTGAATTAAATTGATCTTTTTCATTTATTAGATGATTATTATTTTTTCGTATTTTATTGGAAAAAAGAGATATATCAAATTGATCTAAAGATGGTTCTCTTTGAATATCCAATAAACTACTTTCTGATGAACATTCAAAAAGTTCTCCTGATATATATAACTAAAAATATACATGTATTAATATTTTATATTTATAAAAGTGTTTATATATAAATTCTTACTTGAGATTTATACATATATATTAAATGTAAATCTTTAATAGCTAATGGCACTTTAACAATCAATTGCGCAATTTCTATTGGTGATGCCCCAAGTTTATATACTTGATAAGTATGTTGAAAAATAACATTTTGAGCAATTTCGTTTAAACTAGTTAAATAATAGATTTCTTCATTTGCTTTTCTAAAAAATAAAATTAATGAAAACAAATGCATGTTATTTAATATCTAGATAATACAAACCCGTGTAAAGATAGAGAAACTTCGTTTACTAAATTAAGAGTTTTAATTATGCTCGTCATTCCATGATTTATACTACGAGTCTTTATTGTTATATAAAAATATAATTTATGGTCATATAATGATCCATTAATTAAATATCTCATATCCAAATCTAATTTGACATTTTTCTATATTATAAATAAAAAATAAATATTTAACATATATAATAATATAATTTCTGAAAATTTTGCTCTAAAAATTTTTACCTCTTCTTCTTTCCAAATAGGATTTCCTATATCACAAATTACTATTAAATTCTCTTTAGAAATATCTTCTTGACACGAAGGTAAAATACTACGTAATATTACTCTCTCAGGGAATATAAACTCGAGTGTAGTAAGATATGCAGGTTCTCCATAATTTTTTAAATTAATTTTTAAACTTATATCGTTTGAACCAATTATCCACATATTATTATATCTTACATTATAAAATTTTGCAGTAGCAGATATATTAGAATTACAAATTTTGTCATCTCCACAACCAATATTAAAAGGAAGTAAAACTTTTATATTTTGTATCTTATTGTGTTTTTCAATAGGACAGTATTTACAAAATTCATTTGATACGTCATCGTGTAAAAAATCATGTTTTGCAACTATACTAATAGGCTCGATAAAATCTCGTATATCTTTCTGTGATGAAAAATAGGATGTAATGAAAAAAATATTACATTAACATGACATAATAAAATTAATATAAAATATTAAAAATTATTGAATATTACCAAAATATTAACTTGACTAGATAGACAAATACTTAAATTAGAAGATTTCATTTCTAAAATTGTTTCTTTAGTTCGCTGGTAACGTTCGTCTATAATAGCTGTAATCCTAAATTTTATAGCTAAAAAAAAATATTTCATTGAAAGATATAAAAAATTTAATCTTATATAAAATATATTATATAACATCTTACTATCTGTGACATTATCGTGTAACGTGCCATACATATTATATCGTGGACATATTCTGACCAAAAATTGTTTAGCATCTCTTTGCAAAGTATTAGGTATAGTCTCAATGAAAAGTTCTGTTTTCCATATTGGTTTACTACGTAGTATAATAGCATGCTCTGATTTGTATGCTCCAATTGCGATATCCAAATATCTACATATCACAGAAAATTAATAACATATAGTTGATTGTGATTTACAAAATAAATTTCACTAACCCGTTCTTATCAATATCAATCGGTTTTGAAATTGAAAATCCAAATCGAAGTATTCTTTGTGAAGAATTATATTTAAATAATTTTACAGCTTCGATTCGTTGCGAATTTTGTAAAAAATTCGTATTCTTTAAATCTGGAGTCCCATTAAACACATAAATAACACCATCATCTTCCCAAGGTGTTCCCACAATAATATCTATTACAATAAAAAAATAAATTCTGTAAAAATCTAAAATATATATAAATGAATATAAATAAATTTAAATACCATCAAATCCATCAGCATCTAAATCACCACTAGCTATAGCGTATCCAAAATGCCCTCCTTCTGCAACTCCGTGTAAAATCACAGCTATTTCAAACTGTTCCTGAAAAAAAAATATATATAAAATATATATCCGGAATAAAATATATATGCCGGATATTGCAATATAAAAAATATTTGGTCCTTTAAATTCATTAATATAATCACTACAATATTTTTTTTTAAATTTACAAAATATTTCTTACCTTGGATGTACCGAAATATATATATACTCTACCAGTATCTTCACCCCAATAGGGCGCTCCAATAAGAAGATCATCCAAACCATCTCTATTTAAATCTCCTACAGCCAAGCTGGCTCCAAAATATTCCCCAATATGAGTACCATATAATTTCGTGATGATTGATATATTCGATGCTGGATTAATTATTCCGACCTAGAAAAAATTTGTTCATCGAAAATCTTTTTTTAATTACATTTTGAGATATTGTTATACCGAGCCTTTATACTTCCAACCTGGAGCTCCACTTGCAAATAGTAATTGATCTCTTTTAAAGAAATAACCAGATTCAACGCTGTATCCTATAAATATTTTATTGCATATTAAAAATAAGAATTAATTTGATATTATAAAAGACCATACCAAATTGAGATAAATCGTCATTTAATGGTAATTCCACAGTCATTCTTTTATTTAAATACTGTATATCCACAGTTCCATAATCTTCATGTTTTGGCTCTCCTATGATGCGATTTACTTTCTTCTTTTTTTTTTTTCATTTTGCTAAATTCTTTTTTAAATTATTTATTTGATAATAAAAAATAATAATATTCTTGAATTTTATTTACAAACCTTCGTCGATGCATAATGAACAGAAAAACCATGTATCGGATTGTACCAAAATGTTGACATAAAATCTAGATTTAAATAATACAATTATTCAATAAATCAATTATTATTTTAATTAAATCGCATGAAATTTATACCATGAAACTTAAGATCTTTCTCTTCAATTATTAAAGCATTCGAAGAAATTTTTCCACTGTAACATATCCCTTGCATAGTTTCCAAATTAATATCTAAAGATTTATATAAAAGTGCCACAATTGTTCGTGGTGCACATACCTAAAATTGAAAATGTCATTCAAAATTTTATTTATCAAAATATAATCGTTACTAATATACTTCTCTTACTGTTAAAATTCCATTTATTCTATCTATTGAAATTGCACTTCCAAACCACCCATATTGCTTCCGTATCCACATCATCATTCCGAGTTGCGTTATATATCCTTTTTCATTTTCAATTTTTTCTGGTTTAATTTCTTGACATTTGTGATTTTCGATTTCACGATACAAATGTGGATTTTCGATTTCACAACGATACACAATACCAGGTTCGATCAAATAAGATAATCTCTTTGTTGAAGACCAAGAATAATTTCCTTTTGGTGCTCCAACTATCAACCTTTACGATTGATACATAAAATTTTTAAATATAATCGAAGAAGATAATTTTATTTAATATATCAAATAAAAATTAATTTTACCAGGATGTATCAATATCCGGTTCGTAATACAAATGTACCGTGTAACCGAAATAACTATTATTAAACATATTATCATGACGAAAAATAATAGGAAAATCTACGTCTATATTATATCCATATACAATTTCCAAAAAAAAAAAAATATTCCTTTAATAAACATCATTTGAACTTTTATGGCAAATTTGAATTTAACGTGCTTCACGAAGGAAAACTATAAACTATCATTAATTTTTATTCAACTACAGGAAGACAAACGATAAAGTTATCGCTGAAAAATATATCATCATAATAAAATTTGTGACTAATACATTATTTATTTCATCAGAGTAATTATCATATACAAGGATATACAAATCTAGTTTCATTTATAATTGTATGCCTAAAATTCTTGAATCTTTGAATACAAATTTTTCGATATCTTTTATATAATGTGGTAAATTATCTTGAGGATCCTTTTCAGGTATTTCAGGACACTAAAATAATTTAAAATTTACATAAAATATTAATATATAGAACACTTTTGGAAAATCAATTTTAGAAGTTAAAACAAAAAGTAAAAGTTAGTATATAAAAATTTCTTATTTATTAAATTATAAACGAAGTTTTTAAAGTTTGTGTTAGATAAACATAGAATAAGACAACTTTATTTCCGTCATGTAGTCCATATCGTTATATCTCCGCTTCATTTAATATAAATTTATATTATTATTATTTAATTATTATTAAATATAATTTAAAAAATAATAATAACATATCAATTTTTATTGTTTTAACTTATAGAATTGACTATTTAGAATATATTTAACTTTGATTTTCACGAATGATTTTAAATAATCAAAATTTATAAATACCTTAGCTTGTTTTCTTATTTTCAAAATCTTAGGCATTAATTTAATAGTTCTTTTCTTTCTTTTCTTTAAGCTAGGATGATGCATAAATAATGGTATTTCAAATTTATCCGCTTTACTAAGTTCTTCAAATATCTTCATAATCTCCCAGAATACTAAAACTTCTCTAGGATCAATACAACTCTAAAAATACAAAAAAAAAATTTTATATAAAGATTATAATGCTTGCAAAAGTAATTATATCAGATAGAAATTATATACTTTTACAGCTAATTCAATTCCAACTTCATCAGCTTCAATTTCAGATGATCTTCTATACCAAGCAAAAATAATTGAAGAAAATACATAAAAACTTGAACAAAGTATGGCTGCTATTCTTCTTGGATAGAAAACCCAAATTAGAAATGAAAAGATAATAGTTGCAATGTCATTTAGTATTCCAAAAGATAATGTTTCTGACTGAGAACAAATATATTATAATTACATAATATTTTCTTTTTTTTATATTTATGATATATCATATATTGTTTATAACTGAACATAACTTACTGTATGAAGAAGCATTTCATGTGACATTTCATGAGCTAAAATAAATATTAATTGATCATTGCTTTTAATGAGATCAAACATATCAGAAAGTATAATAATACTTCTATCCTAAAATATTTAATAAAAAAGTTAATATTTCTATTAGGATAAATTCTTTCTTATCTTCATACATATAATAGTATTTTATGTACTATTTTACATACTGGTAAAATCAAAACATTAGGAAGTGATGCCATATTAAATATACGATAAATTATAGTTACTGTCCAATCCAATCCTTCAAAAATTTCTTTGTTAGAATCTATTAATTTTTTTATTGCATTGCCAACAATTGCATACTTAGGGTCATTTAATGGTACTACATTTTCTTTATTTTGTACTATCACCTATCACATGTAACTTTATGATTATATACAAAATTTGTTATTCTATTTTTGCTCAAATATTATTTGAATACATACTCTAAAAAGAATTTTAGCATTTTTAATTCGTAGATCTTGATCAAATAAAACAAAACGTCGTTTCTTCAATATTCGATCCTTCTCAAAACATGTTAAACAATAAATAAATAAAATAAATGATAAGAATGCCAAAGAACCTAGAAATATATATATATATATACATATATTCAATATTTATATTATTTCAAATACCTATGAATTATTATACCAGAAGAAATATACCATAAAAAATATGTCTCTTTTGCTTATACCATGTTATATACATTTGCTGTTGCATTAATGGTTGTTTCAACCACCATCTTCTTACATAATAACCACATAAAATTGAACCAAGGCATATAGTTAAAGATGTAGGATAACACAGCTTTTGAGTCGTATGAATATTTGATATTTGAAGCTTTAAATATTGCCATTTTTTTATAGATCTTTTATATTGATGAGAAAATGTTCCAGAAATAGTACTATATGATAGACTATTTCTTGTATATGTTAAAGTTCTACTAGTTGTCAGCAAAAGATAATTGAAATACATTATTTATATAATACATTTAAGAGTAAAATCATTATAATAATATAATTTTTTAATAAGTTTTTTAAAGTTTTGTTAAATTTTGACAAAAGCTTTTAAAAATAATTATTTTAAACAGTTTAACACAGGTTATATTTTATTGACAAAACAAATTAAACGAAAAAAAGAAAATTTGAAGGAAAAAAGGAGAAAGGATATGTAATAATATAATATATAATATTTGTATGCGTTAAACGAATAAAATAATATAATATTAAAAAATATATATATAATTAAACATATGAATATATATTAATTTTTTTAAATAGTTTCAGTATATTGATGCATCAATTGGTATGTGTCAAAAAAGACTTGTTTTTTTCATATAATTGTGACATATAGACATTAAAATGTTTTTTAGAGAATAATGATGCATTTACGAATTACAATATTATATAAGATATATAATATTACAATTTATACAAACAAAAAAAAATGAATATATTTGTATAATATTGAAATTTGATTATATCTAATTATATCTATGTTTTAAAATATAAATTTAACAACTACGTAACATTGTTGACAGTTCATATTCGTACTGTTAAAAATATGTCACAAGGTTACAATCGATTCTAGTTCAAAATCGATTAAGTAGTAAGATTAAATATAGTAAGTATATTGATAATCATTTTAAATTTATCGACAATTATTTAATACTATTTTCAAATTAATTTTAAATTGAAGAGTAAATGCATTTATATTTAATAATTTTGTTGTATATAATTTACAAACATAAAATATTTCAAACTATAAAAATTTTAAAAATACAATACACTAAGAATTATGTCTTTAAATCTTAAATAATTTATTAAAATTATTATATTATTATTATATTAGTTTTAATTACAAAGTTAATATATTAATTATCTAAAAATTTATTTATAGTTTAATATATGTTAGTTTTAAAACAATATAAATAATTAAAACTATTCGTAATTATTAATTTATTCTTTGATTATCAATTCAGAAAGTGAGAAATTTAAAAATTTAAGAAATCGAAAAAAGAATTGAATTGAGAAAAAAGCATTACAATTTTTTTCTAATTTTTTTTGAAAATTAACTGAATGAAAAAAAGTTTTCATTCAGAAATTAAGAAAATTTGATTGAATATTGAATATAAAAATAACGAAATTTCTATAAACACTAATATATTCAATATATCAGAAAGAATTCATATTTCGCTATAAAGAGTATAATGTTGATTTTACAGTGCAACTTGTGGCCAAGGATATATGTATTTGTGCGCGTTTTCATGCACCAGTGTTGCGCGTGCGTCTATGTATAAATGCACATGCGTATACGTGAGAATGTGCATGTGTGTACATCCATCATGAGTCAGAACCCATGTCGGTCTGTATTTCGTAATTAATTTTTATAGTGACGAGAAAAATGCGACTCTAGACCCAGGACTACAACACCTGCTTACTCCCGGGCCGCTTGTCCTCAGAGGACATGCCCGTTGTGCCCGGTAAATCGCGTATCTTTTATCTTCCTCCTGCTATGTTCATATCCATTATGTGTGCTTAGTGTTGTGTATTTTCTTCTCTTGTTTCTCTCGTTGAACCTCTTATATCCCGCTTCTGTTCTTTCGTTGGACTCTTGTTTCTCTCTCTTTCGTCTACAGGTATATACATCTTATTTAAAACGAGTCCCTGCTTCGATTCTTCGAATCGCCTACAGTTCCTTTTTCAATCGACCAGAGTATAATTTATTTCCTGTTCTTTTATATGTTATGAATTTTCATACAGCAACAGCAGCATAAGAAAGGGTTGTATGTGAGACGGCATTTTAAGCTATCAAAAGTGTAGGCATACACAAATGCTTCTCCAACTCATACATTTGGCCGATTTTAAACTGTCAGTCTCGACGTCGATCGAACTTTTATAAGAAAGAATGGATTGTGAATTTTCTGATAGTCTCGTTTATCAGATTTACTTCTTGCTTTGTTTTCTTTCTTGAATAAAACAGATTGAGTCAGGTATATATTTATCATTTGTATTCATAATATTTTTTTTCTTTAATCTTTAATGTCAACATTTTTTTTAAAAATAAAAATAGTTAAAAAATTATTAATTTTAGGTAATATAAATAATTGAAAGCAAAAGTAATAGGACAAACATGGATCAGAATAGAAATAGACCTAGTAGACCTCGTCTTCGATCTCATGGCAATTCAGCTAGAGTACTCGTATTTGATCAAGCTGAAAGTGAAGAATCTGCTTGTAGTACTGAGGCAGAAATACAAAAACATCCAATTCCATCTAAAGTGGAGAGTAAGGAAGCTCCAGTGCGACCTGGTTAATAAAATTAATTTTATTTTATTTATCTATTTATTTTTCACAATTATTAATCATTTAATATTTTTAGTCAGTGGAGAATTATCAAATCTAGTTCGAATGAGGAATTCTGCAATTGGAAAATCTGCACCTTCTTTATCAGTTCATATGGTTAGTAATATTCTATGTTTAAAATATATATTAAAATATTAAATTATATTAAAATGATTGACAATCATATCACATTATTTTTTTAGCGTGATTTTAACATTCCTCGACGTACTGCTAAAGCAGCACATCGTAAATCTTTTATTGCAACAACATCTCCAACTTTACCACGTTGTCATTCACCACTATCAGGTATATAATTATAAATGTTTTTAATTAATTATATATTATATTATATTATATATTATATTACTTATATTTTTGTTATATATAATGTTATATATAATATTTTAATAATATTTTATATATTATTAATATATAAACTATTTATGACTGTTATATATTTTATAAAAATATTTAATAAGTACAATTTTGGCACAATTGTAGCCAATATTTTTAATTATATATTTATATATATATAAATTTTTACATATATAAATATATTTAATATGTTGATATATTTATTGTATATTTTTGAAGAATCTATTCTAGTGACCAAAACAAATATAAAAATTGGTATACTAAAATGTTGATTAAGATTATTAAATTATTAATTTATTTATTATTACAAGTGAAACGAAATAAAAATGGAATGTAAGAGCAGAATAATGGAGACAGAACAGTCTCATTCTATTTCCATCTCGCTCTATATAATGAAAATTTTAATTGCTTATATCTTAATAAATAAGTGTCCATAACCATATAAATATTTTTATATATGAACTTTTATGTTTTGGGCTATAGAAATCAAATCCTATATAATATTTTATAAATTAGAATATATATTGAATATATATTAAATGTCCACATTTAAGTTATCACAATATAATTATAGCAATTTGCAATTTATGACTTTAGAAACTTTAACTTCTATCTTTAAACTTGTTTTTTAAAATTATTTTTTAATTAATTGAAGATAATTATAAAAATATATATTTTATATTTTTATACAATTTAACTTATTATAAAGAATTAATTTCTACTTATTTCCTTATATAGCGTTTGTCCCGATTGTAGGCAGTCCCCTAGAAAGTCCTAGGATGTCATCAAGTCCACATTTTGCTTTTGCACCAATTAAAAGGTATCCATTTTATATTTATTTTTAGTCTGTTTAAAATTGACTTGTTTATTTATAAATGGTTTATCTATATAATATTTATTTATATAGATGGATTCCTATTGTCAATATTATATTTTTAATACATTATAAATAGTAAAAAAAACAAATGCTGCTATCGAAATTAGGCTATAATAAAATTCACAAAAAACGAAGAATATGGAACGTGTAAGATTTTATCATAAAGTACTTGCCTTGTATATATATTTGTGATAAAAAAATTAACTTTTCAGCAGACATATATTATATTATATATTATATTATATATTATATTATATATTAGTCAATAATTCTAAACTATTTTTTCACACTAAAACATATATAATATTTAGAATTGGTGGAGGTACTACAGGAACTGGAGATGGAAGAAGATGGTCAGTTGCTAGTTTACCATCTAGTGGTTACGGGACAACACCAGGCTCTAGTAATGTTTCGGTTAGTTATTTTGTTGAAGAATGAAAACATTGATAATAATTAAAAAAATTTATAAGATTATTTATTTAGTCACAGTACTCAAGTCAAGAACGCTTGCATCAACTTCCAAATGTTCCCACCAAGGATGAATTACGTATGCTTTCTTGCCATTTTTCTAAACCTGGTACACCTTGTTCTTCGCATCCAGGTTTTCCAGGTTCTAGTATTTCAAGTATTCCAGGCAGCGTATCTCTTAGCCTTGATGAAGAGGGCCGTAGATCACCGTTACATAGACCTCGTTCACGAAGTTTAAGGTAAATATATAGTAAAATATTGTAATTTACTATGAATATCATATTATTCATATAATTTTATTTTTTTCAATCTTTTGAAAAATATTGTTCATAACATTTTTGTTCAATTGTATGTTTTATTTCAATTTTAGCAGTCCGAGTCGTTCTCCTGTATTAGATAGCGAAATTGTTATGATGAATACTCTTTATAAAGAAAGATTTCCCAAGGTAAAACTTCAACTAAATATATATATAAACATTTTATAATTTTATATAATGTAACAACAATTTTACACATAACAATTTTGTTATTTAAAAATTATTTGATTAGGCTACACAACAAATGGAGGAACGTTTAACTAATTTTATCAATGAAAATAAAGAGCTAGATGAATATGAAGTAATGGCAAATATGACCCAAGATTCTCTTCCAATTTTAAGATTTGTACATCATCAAGTAATTGAAATGGCAAGAGATTGTTTGCAAAAATCTCAAGAAAAATTAATTACAACTAGATATTTTTATGAAATGAGTGAAAATTTGGAACATTTATTAATGGAGGTAATTTCACAAAAATTAATGTGATAGAAATAAATAAATAATAAATAAATATTTCTATTTTTAGACAAAAGATAAATCACTTGAAGCAGCAACAAGATTAACAGGACTTATTAAAAAATTGTTGTTAGTAATATCGCGTCCAGCTCGTTTATTAGAATGTTTAGAATTCGATCCCGAAGAATTTTATCATTTACTCGAACAAGCTGA